TGGTGATCATGGTGATGGTGTGGTGATGGTCATGGTCACAATGGTGATGATGGTGATAATGGTGATGGTGAACAATGGTAGTGGTGATGCTGGTGATGGTGATAATGGTGAAGATGGTGATGGTGGTGATGGTGATGATGGTGGTGATTGTCGTGGTGATATGGTGAATGGTGGTTAGGGATTGTGGTGGTCATAGTGATAGTGGTGATTATGGCAGTGGTGATGGTGATGATGGTGATGTTGATAATGATAATGGCAGTGATGGTGGTGGTTATAGGAGTATGGAGGTCATGGTAATGGTGGTGATGATCATGGTAATAGTGGTGATGGTGGTGATGGTGGTGATGGTGGTGGTGGTGGTGGTGCTGGTGATGGTGCTGGTGGTGATAGTGGTGATAGTGGTGGTGGTCATAATCATGAGGATAACAATAAGAACTATTATGTACTAATTCAGCCCAGACCCTTTGATTTTCCTGCACCCTCTCATACAACCAAAGACACAGAAGAGATTGTCACCCCCTGCCCAGTGCTTAGGAGACTAAGCACCATCAAGAATCGTGAAATGGCCAAATCACACAGCTAATAGGTGGCAGAGCCAGATCTGAACCCAAGTTTGTCAGACCCCAGGTTCTGAGCTGTTAGCAGATGACGAAGGACCAGGAAGGAGAAAGCAGCTGGGTGCGGTGGCCTGTGCCTGTTGTCCCAGCAGCTCGGGAGGCTGAGGCAGGAGGATCGTGAGTTCAAAGCCAGCCTCAGCAACAGTGAGGCACTAAGCATCTCAGTGAGACCCTGTCTCTAAATAAAATGCAAACTAGGGCTGGGGATGGGGCTCAGTGAGTTCAATCCCCAGAATCAAAAAAATAAAAATAAAAGGAGAAAGCAGTGAAGCGGGTGGTCTTGGTTACGACCCTGTTCAAGGTAGCAATTGCCACCCCCCCCACCCAGAAAGCAACGGTGGACCCCCTTCACCTGCTCATTTGAACACCCTGCCTCAGGTGTAGACAGATCCTGGTAATCATCCACCAATTGTCCCCTCCCCTCGGGGACACAAGCGCCCTGGGAACACATCTGTACACGCGTGTGCAGAGCTTAGCACGTGCCTCACGAGAAGCCTTCTGCACACTGCGTTATGGACCTTTCTGGTTTCAGGACCGGGGTGTGATGAGGAAAGGATGGGAGGCCCTGACGGGTCCCCTGAGCTTGCCAAGTGACTATTCGTTGGTGTCACTTTGGCAAGGCTGGTCTAACAAACCAGGAGAAGGAACCAAAAGGAAAGACTCCTTACCTTTGGGGCTCCTTGGCGCTGGAAAATAAGGTCCCCAGAACCAAGGACAAACTGAAGATTACTGACATCTCTAGCCTCTAACAGGAGAGACAGACAGACAGACTACCCCACTTGGCCCAGTGCAGGCAGCCTGGCCTCCCTGTGGGCTCCCCAAGACAACTGGTGACCCTTCGGTCACTTAACAGACATGCACAGGGCACCGGGATGCACCCCCACGTGCCAGAGTTTAAGACCTCTGACCCCATCACCCCAGCTCCGGGTGGACAGCAGGCATCCAAGAGGAATAGCACATGACCCGCAGGACATAAGCTGGTGGGAAAGATCCTAGTTTAAGACAACATTTTTAGTTAGGGCAGAGGACAGGAAAAGGATGGAACCATCCAGTTCCTGAGAAGGTTGGAAGCTTCAAGGAACCGAGTGTAATAAGGGAGGGAAGAAGAGAAGGATGCTTCCAGGGTGGCCCGCTGCTGCCCTCTGGTGGAGACTCATGGCAAGGGCATCCTGCTGCTGTCTGGCACTTGAAACTCCAGGTGGGAGAGGTGCCCAGAGTGGAGGGGGGCGTGACCTGCTGGAAGGCAGGTCACAGCCAGGTGAGGAACTAGACAAGGAAACAGCCACAGGTATGGTCAGTTGGTGCTGGGAGCATTCATTCATTCAGGAAGGAACAGAGGCCTTGGGGCAGATGTATGCCCAGTACGTTGAGGGGGACCAAGGAGGCCCTGGGCAGCTGGGATAATATACACAGGCTGAGGCCAGCAGGGGCTGAGGCTGCAGGGGTGGCCAGGGGCTCAGTGGTGAGACCTTGTGGGTCCCTGGATGTATGCAGCCTGGGGCAAGTGGTCCCCCTGTGTGAAGGTCCAGGAAGGGCCCTGTGGGGGATCTGGGGCGGGGCCTGAGGGCGAGCAGGACACAGATGAGGATAAGGACCAAAATATTTACTGAGCACCCCCTATACACTAGACACGACCTCCCACCCTGAGAACAAAAGTGCCGGCAGCAAACGGGTAAAGGCCCGCCCTCCGGCAGCTGACAGTCCAGTGGAGGAGAGACGGAGCCCTGCAGAACCAAGCCACTCCTCAAAATCAAAACGTGCTTAAGTGGCACCGCTACCGAGAGCAAGAGCAGAGGTGACATATGACGGCAAGGAGACTCAGAGCCCAGGGACAGTCCTTTCCCATCCAGTCTGAGTGAGGCTGGCCTCAGCCCTAAGTGCCACAAGAATTGGGGACAACAGGATCAGTGCTTTTGAGGACCCAGGTCCTGGCTCCGAGGCTGGCCTCTAAGCAGGGCTTGGCACACTGACCCTTCACGGCCTCAGAGGGGCAGGAGCGGGCCGAGGCGGAGGCAGCAGGATCAATTAGACCAGTGTCTCTTCAAACCATGTGAAATCAGAGTGGCAGCTCATGGCAAAGGACAGGCAATGAAAAGAAAGAATTTAAAACATCCCATACGCAAGTCAGGGCAGGCACTGTGTCCGGAAACACACCCAGCAGAGTACAGGTACATACATGTGGAGGGTGGGGCTGGAACATAGATCTTTACACACACACACACACACACACACACACACACACATATTTGGCTGCACAGCTTGATCCATAAAGGGTGCAAAGAAGTTGACGAGAGGGCGTCCCAAGGTCTCATCCTGCCTAGATGTCACTGAAGATGAGTGTTCTTTCCTCCAAGAGCTGGCAAAAGCCTGTCTCTGGCAGAACGGGAGCTCAGCTCTGTTTTTAGGGACTTTGCCAAACTCCACAGCATGACTCTGGTGACAATCTCAAACTCGGAAAAAGCAACGAAGAAGCTAATAACCTTCGATGCTCGCGGTCGTGCATTCCGGAAGGCGGGGGGGGGGGGGGGGGGGGGGGGGGGGGGGGGGGGGGGGGGGGGGGCAGGGAAGAGGGACTCGCATCCAGAAGCACGAATGTTCTGGAAAGCAAGATGGCAACCGTAGCCAGAAGCTTAAAATACATACATCTTTGCTGCAAGACCTCACTCCTCTGAACTCTCTCTCCAAAAACCAGCCAGAGCTATGCTGCAGATGGCGCCGCTTAGGATAGGGAAAATGTGCATGCGACCTACATTTCCCAAGACACTTCCTGGTCGAATTTGGGGTGCTAGTGTTCAGGCAAAGTGGGGAGGAAGTGCATTTACGGACAAAGGCAGATGACTGTGATGTAACATTGAAGGTCCCTGCGGTTTCTTACAAGAGAGGGAACGACCTGAGGCTTCTCGGCTTCTCGCCACAGGTGGAGGGGGGAGTCACCTTGGAGCGGGTCACTATGACGGAAAGGTGGAGAGGTGGAGAGGCGCCTCTTCACCATGCTGATGGTCAACAGCATGGGGCCAGAGGTACCTAACAACAGGACCAGATGGAGAGTCGGCAGGAGGGACCTCTGCCTTCCAGGGGACATCTGGAAAGAGCTGGAAACATTGCTACTTGTCATGATGGGAGTCCGGGGGGACATTACTGGTATGTGCCGGGAAGAGATCAGGGATGCTGCTGACTAGCATCCTCCATCCCACAGCTCAGCTCTCAACCGAAGGGTTGGATGCTCACCATAGCCTGGATCAGGACCTGCTGGCAAGACAGACAGCTAAAGGGCGTGTGCAGGGGATCTGGGCCCAGGACCTGTTTCCTTTTGCTCTGTTTGGTTCAGTGCTGGATCCCGCCCCATTTCCGGTACATAAGAGTCCCTCAATAAACACTGGCAGGTTGCATGTTGAATCCCACAAGAGCTTCCAAGTGACCCCATCAAGTGACCACAGGATGCAGCAGGACTGGTGTTCAACAGTGACACCTTGTGGTGGGAACCAGAACGACAGCACTGGAGGCCAATAATCCTTTGCCTGGTATTTGCAGACCTGACCCCTGGGAAGTATAGAGCCCCAGATAGGAGAGAAAACAGTGAGAGACTGATAATTGATGTTATGCTAATAAAGACAAACAGGTGTCCAGCCAATTAACTGGAAAGATCCAGGAGGGATCTCGTATGACTATATATTTGGACCCTAAACTGCTAAGACAAGTCACAGAGGTTATCTTATAATTTCAAAATACTATGTATAAATAATCTCAATCCTAATGTTTAGAGAAAGTATATACACATATCCATTTGTTAGGAAGAATTATACCAAAAAATCACACCAAAATGATGTCAGGTCCCTACAGGATGGGACCCCGGGTGATACATTCTGGTTCATGTTACAATGAATACATAGCATATATGTAAGAAAATAAGAAGCTAGACAGGGCTGGGATGGTGGCTCAGTGGGAGAGCACGTGCCTAGCATGTCTGAGGCACTGGGTTCAATTCTCAGCAGCACATAAAAATAAATGAATAAAATAAAGGTCCATCAACAACTAAAAAAATATACACATTAAAAAAAAAAAAAAAAAGCAGCAGCAGCAGCAGCTAGACAATGACCCAAAATTCAGTGGCACTTAAGAATATCCAAGATAAAAAGACCCTGGTCTCCTATGCCTAGTAGGTATTCCCAGAACAGACGCCTTATAATCCCAGCAGGCTCAAGTTCAAACTCAGGAACCGCCCTGTCCTCTTCTCCCAGCCTCCAAATCGCAGGTGATCTCTGCTGGCTCCAGGTTGACCGTCTGGTCGCGGCCTGCGCAGGGATCTGGGGGGAGGGATGGAGCAGCCGCCCTGGGAGCCGCTCCAGCCCCCTGCGCAGGTGTGCACCCCCCTGCGCCGCTCACCTGACATGTGCACGTTCCTGAGGCAGGAGAGCGAGGCGTTGAGGCGGGCGCACTCCTCCTGGTTGGCTCCATACTTCTCCACCGTCTCACACACCTGCTCGTCGGTCATCTCCAGGAGGTCCTCCAGGCTCAGCTGACCCGGGGAGATTTCCTAGGGGCGAGGACAGACAACCGTCAGCTGGGTCTCAAGCGCCCTGAGACTCAGCAGCGCACCCAGGGCCTCCACGCTGCCCCCTAGGGGTGCCCGGTGCAAATGCTTCGCTGAGATCCGGGAATCTGGGGTCAGAGGGGCCTGGGTTTGAATCTCGGGTTTGCCACTCCTTACTGAGATAACCTCAGACAAGTTCCTCAACCTCTCTGGGCCTCACTTTTATCACCTATAAAATGGGATCCCAAGTGCACACACTGGGTAAGCTCCCTCGTATGCCTCATATACCGTCAGCAGCGCACACGAGCAATGGTTGATTATCTGTCTTCCCAGCCAGCTTCGGAACTCTTACGAAGCAGGGCCCCATTTTGTTCTTCTGTCCATGTCCCTCAGTGCCTCCTGCTGGACTTGGCCTGCAGGAACGCCACCAAGTCCCACGAGAACTCAGAACAAGCCCCCGCCGAGCTGCCCCCTACTCTCACCATCCTCTCCACCCCAGCCACGGGTCTTGGGGAGCCCCTAGAGAAAAGGGGCTAGAAGTCCGTGGACGGCCCAGGGCTGGTGTTTGAGCACCATGGGGCAGGGCTTTGCATTCCATGGCCCAGTGGTAAGGCTGAGGAATTGTGGGGTGCAGGAAGGGGAACCTCTGAACATATGGGCTGGCCACAGAAATATAATGGGAGGCGTCCCCTCTGCAATCAGCAACCACCACCCCCCAAACCCTGTACAAATACATCTCAAAACTGTCAAACCTCTGCATTTACACATCTCTGAGTATGTGCGTGTGCATGTGCCTTCATTTATAGCATTTAATGGTAGCCAATGGCTTTACACATTATTATTCAAATAAGATTTTTAAGTCTGTGGATGCCAGGGCAAAATTGAAGACTCTTTCTGCCCTCTTGTGGCCACACCTGTGTATTACAACAAAATACAAATTTTTCACATGAAACTGAGAAACTGTAAGATCCGCCCCCACCACCACCCCTCACCCCTACTCCACCCCCCAAAAAAAACCCTGCAGAGCAAAAGCCAAAGACCAAGCCATGCCTTTCCTGACACTGTGGTGCACTAGAGGACACAGAAAGAACAATAACTTGGAAGCTTTCTCAAATAGAGGCACATTGCAGGTAAGCCCCACTTCAACACAGGGGAGGACCCGGGGTCTACAGGCCCGGGATGGATCACAGCAGAGAAGATGACCCACAACACAAAAAGAGTCCTCCTCTCCACCACAGGCTCACTTGTGCACTTTAACCCCACAATTTAAAAATATATGTATATTCAATATGCACTAAAATGTAGAATCACCAAAAAAAGAAAAAGCATAAAATATTTTTTTCTGACACTTAACAGGAAAAAAAGTCTTAAGGAACCTGGGCCAAGAGAGTTTGATGAGGATCATGATGATGATAATAAGAGCAGCTGGGAGGGTGGAGTACCGTTTGAGGTACTTTGCATGGATTTTCTTTTCATGTCACAAATATGGGTCTCTTATAATCACCATTTATACACTGGGCTGCTAAAACACAGAGAAGTTAGACCACTCGCCCAAGGTCACACAGCGAGTGAGAGGTGGATTCCAGAGTTGAACTGGGGTCATCCAACTGCAATGCTTTCTCCTACGGCCCATCTTGCACCAGAAGGGGACCTCTGGTGGACACACGCGTGAACTGCAGGCAGAGAGCCGAACTTCAGCTCCGCCCCCAGCCCCTGCCTGGGACCCTGGACTGGGCTGATCAGGGTCAAGGCGGAAATGAGTTAGGTAAATGGCCAGGAGCAAAACCGGGAGCTGGAGTGAGCCTCAGGGACCCAGGGGTGGGAGATCAAGGGGGCATCAATTATATCAGACAAACAAAAAGTGCCTGCCCATCTGGCTGGAGGGTCATTGGGCAAGACGGGGTGGGGTAGGGGTGAGGAATGCGGGGTGCTGCGTGGAGCTGCTAGCCCAAGGGGACGAGGTCTAAAACAAAGCTCCCTCCAGCAGGAAGCCAGGAGCTCCTGGAGATGGGCCCCTGGCAGGGGGGACGCCCTCTTCTGCTCAGCTCAGGGAGGCTACAGCAGACAGCATAGTGCGCCCCCCCTAAGATACTGCAACCGTCTGAGCTTGATTCTCCTGCCAGCCCTGCCCACTCGCTGGCTGGACACCTCACCTCACCTCTGAGCCTCAGTTTCTCACTCTGTACCATGGGGACAATGTCCATACCTACTCAAAAGGTCACTGAGAGGAGTCTGAATAGATTCAACAGATGAGATTCTTCCTGCAAAGCCCTTAATATGATCCCTGGCACCGAAGATTCAGGGGCGTGAGCTGGTTTATTAGGAATGACCCGTCCCTGGAAAGAACAGGCTCTGGGATCCCAGAAGGTAAAGAACCCTCTCTGTTCTTGAGAGCTTAACTTAAGGAAGTCCAGCCTTGACGGTGGACACAGAGCACCAAGTGCGCTGGCTTGGTTTTGCCCTTGGAAACCCCCATATCCAAAGTTTTCAATAACAATAACCCCCAAAAGCTAAAATTGACTGGGTGCACTCAGGTGCCAGGCCGTGAGCGGAATACTCTGCCCAGATCACCTCCCTTCATCATGCCAGATGCTTAAGAAGGGGCGATGGTGACCCCCATTTAACAGATGGGGAGACAGATGCTCTGTGAGTGGGCTCTCCAATATGGCGGCCCCTGGAAGATGAAGCCCAGCAAAACTTCAGTTCCTCCGTCACATGCGTGGACCGCCACTCAGGGCCCAGTAGGCACAGTGGCTGGTGGCCGTGGCCTCAGACAGCACCGATGCAAACTGTCTCCATCCCAGCAGCAGATTCCACGGGACAGGGCTGGGCTCCAGGTCATGGGACTTGGCTGAAGTGACTCTGTAGTAAGTGGCACCCTGCTCAGACAGGCAGAGACCGGGCGCCTTCACGGGGTGCATACATATGGAGAGCCCTGCTAGGGACGTGCTAAAGCTCTGCCGCCCAAGGAGCAGCAGAAGGGTGGCTCTGGGCAGTCAGGGCAGGGACCCAGGGCCGCCCCCAGTCACCTCCAGGACTTCCTCGCGCACGTCCACGATCCGGAACCAGTGCCGGAGCCGGGGGAAGCCGTCCAGCTCCGCGTTGCGCTCCTGCAGGGCCACCTTCTTCTTACAGGACAGCTGCCGGCTGAAGTACTTCACCAGCTTGCTCTGCAGAGACAGGGGAGGACAGGGACAGGTCTCAGAGGCACCGGACGAGGAGCCGAGAGGAAAACTCCCCCCACCCAAACCTGTCAATCTGCCATTCAAGGACCTCGGTCCAGCTACCATGAGATCCACTTCTCCACCTGCCACCGAGGGGAGAGAGTGTTTGAGTGTGTCCCCCAACGTCCCATAGGGCCAGAAGTTTGGTCCCCAGTGTCATGATGCTGAGAGGTGCTGGCTCTTTAAGAGGTGGGACCTGGTACAAGGTCATGAGGTCGTGAGACCATCACCTTCAGAAGGGATTCCTGTCTTCAGAGGACCAAGTTGGCTCTGTCAAGAGCAGGTTGTTACAAAGATAGGCCACCTCACAGGTTTGGTCCCTTCTACACGTGCCTGGTTCCCTTTCCACTTTGCCATGTGATGAGGCAGCCAGCACAATGCCGTTTGGACCCTCTGGCCACCACAGTCATGAGCCAAATAAACTTCTTTTCTTTATAAAGTATCCAGCCTCTGGTATTTTATTATAGCAACATACAAAGTACCAAGACAGCACCCATCCCCCCCACCATGTGGGTGATGATGGACAAAGAGGAAGACTCTTTTTTTTTTTTTTTTGGCCAGGGTGGGGATGGGCACTGGCATGGCCTTTGTTGGAGGCCTTTCAGCTGTACCCACTCCCATTTCAATGGCACATGGCCTTTGACCCCACAATCCCACTTCTAGAAATTCATTCTGCAGACATCCACCCTGCACAAAAATAGGTGTGTCCGCGGATGTTTTCTTAAGGTTCTGCTTGCAAAGGCAAAAGGCTGCAGACACTCTGAGGATTCATCCGGAGGAAACTCATCAGATGCTACCACCACCCCAAAGAACTCTATGCAGCTATAAAATAGGTTTCCAAGATACACTGATAAATAAAAATAAATCCGTGGAAATCGTGGAAAGCGTGTCTACATATGTATCTTTGTAAATGCAGCGTCTGTCTCTGGGAGGATCCTGCTCCTCCAGGAAGGGGGAGGGAGGGTGGGAATCGAGATGGGAGAATTGTGTGGGTGTGCCCTCGGACTCCTAAGTCATTCCCGAGTAGTCACAAGTAAACAACTGCTTTTAAAATGAGCTGGTCCTGAACCCATGTCTCTGGCAGAGTGCCCAGACACGCAAAAGGAAGACTTTTCACGGCTAGTTTTGTAAAGACCAACACGAACAAGACAAAGGCAATACACGTGGGCCCGAGCAGAGAAAAAAAATGGTGGAAGAATAAACTCCAAGCTTCTGAATTGGGATGGGGAGGCTTATAATGGGGGAGCAGAAAAGGGTCACGTGTTTCTTTTATTTTGGGGGAGGGGGTGGGTCCCAGGGATTGAACCCAGGGGCACTTGGTTACTGAGTCCCATCCCCAGCCCTATTTTGTATTTTATTTAGAGACAGGGTCTCACTGAGTTCTTTAGTACTTTGCCATTGCTGAGGCTGGCTTTGAACATGCGATCCTCCTGCCTTAGCCTCCCAAGCCGCTGGGATGACAGGCGTGCGCCCCCACGCTCCCCGGTCATGTGTTTCTTTATGTATAGTTTTTGCATTATTTTAATAATGGCCCAGAGTATATTATCTGTGTAATTTTAAATATATTTGATAAAGATAATTAAATGAGACAAAATTAAAAACCCTTGGGTATGCAGATGCCTGTGGCATTTCAAAGCAAGCAACATTCATCAGGAAGATGATTCTGGAACTCTAGGATCCCAAGATCCACAGCACGGGTGTCCCCACACTGGTCTCCATTCTCCCTTTTCATGAAAAGAATGTTCCCACTTTGTTGTGGAGGAACCTCTCTTCTTGGCCTCTCAGCCCCTCTGGCCCAGAGGAGTGTGGTTCCCACCACCCCACCAGGCTGCAGGTGGGCATATGTCCCAGGCCTGGATGGAGCGTGACAATGACCCAGCGGAGCCACTGAGAACCATCCCAGGAGGTCTCCTGCGCGCCCAGGATGCAGCTTTCGCTCTCCAGCCGGTAGGCATGGTGAAAGAGGGCCGCCTGGGCACCCACCTCCCGTGGCAGGAGGCACTGTGTGGTTGTGATTAAGCTGAGGATCTGGTGGGTGACGCCCACTCACAAGAAGAAATAAGGAGAGGTGTCCCTGACCACGTCCATTAGCTGGGCCCAGAGTGACCCTGAGCTCTGCAGGGACAAATTAATTGGCACCAATTTGTTGCTGCTGTTGTTGGGTTTCTGTCACTAAGCCTCCTGCCTCATGGGGGAGTGGAAGGGCATCTGGTCCCCTGTCCTAAGACAGGCTTGACATTCAGGTGTATCGGTCTCCTCGGCTGCTGTAACAAATGGCCACAAACTTAGGGGCTTCAGACAACATAGATCTGTCATCCAGCACTACCGGGGGTCAGAAGTCCAAAACCAGCCTCCCTGAGCTAAAATGGAGGTGTCAGCAGGGCCGTGGTCCTCCCAGGCTTCTGGAGAGAATCCATGCCCTGCTTTCTCAGCTGGTGGAAGGGGACTCCATTCCTAGGCCCTTTCCTCTTGTCACTCAACTCTTGATGCTGTGGTCACCTCTCCTAGTACGGACTCTACCCTCCTGCCTCACTCTTCTAAGGAGCCTGAGGATGACACTTGTTAAAGGCATGGTCCTCAGCCTGGTGCTGCTAAAAGGGGGTGGAGTCTTTAAGAGGCGGGGCCTAGTGGGAGGGACTAGATCCACATCCTTGGAGGGAAATATGGGACCCTGGTCTCTTCCTCTCTTTCAAGTCCTGGCACACCATGAGGTGAGCCGCTACCTCTACCACACCATCCCAACCAGGCTGTGGTGCCTCACCACAGGACCAAAGCCATCGTGCCAACGCACCATGGATGAAACCTCTAAAACTGTAAGCTCCAATAAACCTTCCCTCTTTTTAAGTTGATTATCTCAGGTATTTTGTGATAGTAACAGCTGACTCATACACCTGCCATGGAGCAAAAATGTACTAAGGTCTGAATATTCAGATACAGAATCAAAAATGACTCTGAGCTTACGGGGCTCAAAGATGAGCAAACCAGTCAGGGCTGGTGAGGGTCAGAGATCATGACCACACACAGGGTAGAGACTTTTGGTCAAAACCAGCTTCTAGACAGACTCTCACCCATGAATAGATATTTTAGGCCCACTCAGTACTTGCTATTTATTAGAATTAGGGAGATCTGTGAGATTGGAAACACTGTCCTGAAATACACCTCCTTCTAAAAGACCAAGAAAATTAATTTCTTATAAAAATGAGCAAGGAGAAAAGAGATAGTGTTTTCAAATATGCCCATAAATGCTTTGATAGTACTCTCTTCAAAAGACGGAGCATGATTGCATCTCTCCATAAGTGTAGGCTAGGCTCAGTGACAGAATATGGAAGAAGTAACCATATACAACTTTGGAGGTTAGGTCATAAAAAGTACTGCAGCTTTCTTTTTTATTCTCTCTGGGATCACTGCCTCTGGGGGAAGCCAACTACCATGTCATGTGGATACTCAAGGGGCTACGAGGAGACCTCAATGGTAAGGAACCTCCAGCCAAGAGCCATGGGAGGAAACTATTCTCAGAATGGATCCTCAATCCCAGTCAATAGCAGCACCAGGCAACATCTTAACTGTGGCCCAGGACAAACCCGGAGCCAGGAACCCTGCTGCTCCTAAAATCCTGATCCACATAACCTGCAAGATAATAAATGATTTTCTTTTAAGCAACTGTGTTTCAGGGTGACGTAGTAAAACAGCAGTAGCTAACACATACAAGCAATCAAATCCCATTCACAGTTAGGAGAAGACGGGATGTCGTGCCCACAGGCTCCCCAGGAAAACAGAAGTGGAACAAAACCGTAACCTACTATTTCAAAGCTCTGTAAGAACATGACATGACCCATTTGATACCCCACTAGTACGTGGAACTGTAATGCACTCCTAGAAAGATTTTTTTAAAAGATAGAAAATCATCTTAAATTGGGATCAGAAAATCTCAAAAGTGAGGTGTTAAAACTCAGAAGTATAGTGGAAATGAAAGGAAAAAAACGTATTTGCTGAGGTGGGGGGTGAAAACCAAGGGCCCAGCTTATCCAACAGAAGTGAACGGAATGTTCATAGGGCAGGGGGCAGGGGCAGGGTGAGAAGGCAGCCGCCCAGCGGTCAGGGCCCATGAGGGACAGCGTCCAAGTGAGGCTGTGGCCCCGTGGAGTTGGGAGATGAGTCAAAGACTGAGCAAATCAGTAAATACAGGGAGGGTTATTTTTATCACTGTTGGAGAAGAAGGATACCCATGTGGGGAGGGAAAATGCTAGCACAGACCTTGGGCCATCTGATTGGAATTAGAGACATCAGTTACCAATCCTCATAAATAAGAAAACAGATGTGAATGCAAACCTGGGTGTGTGTGCAGACACCACACACACACACACACACACACACACACACACACACACACACACAAACTGCCCAGGGCTCCACTGACCCCCACAGTATGAATTAGCACAGCAAGGACCCAGAACGTGGCTCCTAAATACCCAGAAGACTGTGGATGTGGCTCAGTGGTTTTGCCCCCCTGGGTTCCATCCCCAGGACCGATGAAGATGCTGTTGCAAAATGTTCTAAAGGCTAAAAATCCTTAAAAAGTTTACCTTCTGACATTTCCCATTAAAATTCCAATGAGGAATTTTTCTAGAAATAGAAAAGGCCGTCGTGAAATTCATTCGGAAAAAGAAGGGACCCAGAATAGCCAAGGCAATCCTTAGCAAGAAAAGTGAAGCAGGAAGCACCCCAGTACCAGGCCTTAGACTATACTACAGAGCTATAGTAACAAAAACAGCATGGTATTGACACCCAAATAGAATTGAAGATCAATGGAACAGACCAGAAGACCCAGAGACAAACCCACATGAATACAGTTATCTCAAACTAGACAAAGGTGCCATAAAGATACAATGGAGAAAAGACCCTCTTCAACAAATGGTGATGGGAAAACTGGAAATCCATGTGTAGCA